TTTAATTTCAGGATGGAGGAAGTGGAGATTGATCTAGACCATTATTTTGAGCAATGGTTTGTAAAAGAGAGAATATTAAGTAAAAGGAGAGTTAAAAGCATCAGGGGCCTAGCAAAATCATATATGTATTTGTAATATTGACCATCAGTAGTGCTGTAAGTTTTCTCTAGCACTCACAGCTTGGGCCAGGAATGAAGAAAACAAATAGGTAGGAAATCCAGGATTACATATTAGACACCCATGTGTATGGCAGAAGGTTAAGGGACTGAGAAAATTTTCTTTTTCTTCAAGTTTTTTCCAGCTTAATTGAAGTATAATTGGCAAATAAAATATATATATTTAAAGTATATAAAGTGATGATTTGATATATGTGTACCTTGTGAAATAATTTTGACAGTAAGGTTAATTAACATATTTACCATCTCACATAGTTACCTTGTTTTCTTGGTGGTGAGAATGCTTAAGATCTGCTCTTCTTATCAATTTGAAGTATACAATATAGTATTTTTATAGTTACCGTGCTGTACATGAGATCCCCAGAACTTATTCATCTTATAAATGAAGACTTGTACACTCTGACCTGCATCTCTGTTTCCCCCACCCAGCTTTCTCAGTGATATAACAAACATGAACTATGAAGTCTATGATTAGAAGGACGTAAAAGAAAGAAAAAAATAAAAGATGAGCATATTTTACTTGGATCTAGGAATGGATGTTTAATGGACTAGGTCTTTTTTATTTTATTCATTGATCCATCAAATAATATCTACCATACTACAGACACCATGCTAGGTAACTTGGTTTATAACGTAAACAAGTAGAGACTGTCCTTGCCTTCATGGAACTTACAATCTGGTGAGGAAGACAGATGCCAAACAATTGGAAGTTACAGAATGGGGGAAATCAGGATCTTTAAAGACCATTATGGCTTTTAGACGTTTCTCCTCTTCTCTCACTACACCCACAGTGCCTGCACAGTTAATACAGTAGGCACCATGGGTCTCATGCTAGGGAATCTTGAAGACATTAGTGGGCTCCTTTCCTATCTCCTTTGCCTCCCTTCTTCCACATCTAGAATGGCACAGCAACAGCTGACTTAATGCTTGCTAACCACCTGTATCAGCAATTTTTAGTCAGACCCACCAATTCAATGATAGTTTCTCCTTATTCTTTTAGTTCTCCCCTCAGAATATATCTGAGGAACTTTATGGAGAAAAGGAAAATGATGAAGCTAAATTTGAAGGTAAGAATGGAAAATAATTGAAAGCAGTCAAGATGGGGAAAAAAACAGAATTGGAGCAGAATGATAGTTTTGAAAGTTACATTACATATGACTTGCTTGAAACTGAAGAAATTTCTGTGGAAGAAATGTAAAGTATAATTAATGGATACATCCCTCTATGGATTTTATGTGGTCGAAGCATCTAATTTCACTCGTTCTTCAGAATAATAAGACTTCCTCTTTGAGGAAAATGAGAGAACTCTGAATTTCACAGTGAGACTTTTCTAGGCAAATTGGAAAAGGCACCAAAAACCCTGAATTTTTGGCATGTGGCTTTCTCAAGAGAAAAAGAGATATTCATAGTGAACGTACCATAAGAATCTGCCCTGACGTAAGGCAGTCTGGCAAAAACATGTCAAAACGTGAACAACTTTCTGTTGTGCAGGAGCAACTGGATCATAGTTTCTTTTTAAAAGTATCTTAGAGGACTAACCCAGACACTTAAAAAATACCCATTGGTAAAAAAAAAGATGATGCTACACTTTTACTCTACTGACAAACAAAAAAAGATTCATTCAAGGAGGACCAAGATTTCAGATTTCTCAAGTTGTACTACACTGGCCTTTGGCCATAATATAGGATGTGATCAAATCTTACAAGGATGCCATGAAGCTGGCAGCAGTCACTAGATATCGGGATGCAGTACCCATCAACATCTGCATAGCTTGCAATGGTCATTATAAGATGAAGGATTTGATCCAATTTAGTCCAGCCAGAGGTAAATCTGTTTAAGAAAGGAGTAGTGTTCTATAAAATATGAATGGCACCTACTGATGACACTTTCACTCACCAACTTGAAAGAGGGAGCAACAATAACTTGGAAATTTTGTAACAAATGTATTCTGCAGGCAGGAATAAAAGATAGTTGGTTTTCAGAAATAAGTAAATTAGTGAAGGGACATCGAGATGATATTAAAGCAAACAGTGATGCTGTCTTAAGGCAACAAAGTACAGTTTGAACCATCCATTGAAAATATAGAAAATGCTATTAGCAGCAAGAAAAATCCAGTCTCCAGCACAAATGGGATTAAATATAAAAATTGCCATTTTGTCTAGGATGAAGACAGTGGCAACCATTCTTCTCCCAAAAGCTGCTCAGCGAGTAGTTTATCTCCAAAGATTATGAAGCCTTGTCCACTGAGTCAGAAGATGTAGAAATGGAGAACACACTTCCTGAATTTCTCAAAATTTAACAGTTGGATGACAGTTTTAAAACCATTCTGTGAATTTGGTTGCAACCGAGATGGGAAAAGGAGTTGATTTCACCTAGGAAGAAGTAAAAGGAGGAGGAAGAGGAAAGGAAAGGAAATTAAAATAAAAATTACAAGAGTGATGGAGTGTCCACTACTCTACTTGGTCCTGCAGTGGAGGCAAGTTTCCCTGCAAAAGTAGCTTAGGCATGTGAAGAATATCTTGATACTCAGAGAGTTGATACTCAGTCCAAAAACTCCAAGGTTACAAACAGTTTGCTTAGCTGCTGGATAACTATCTTAACTTGGGAGAGAGATTTACTAATAGGATTGTTGGGGATGCTACATAGCACAGCTCCTGGGGGCACCATTCACATCTTACTCTATCTGAACAGAGCTCCTTTGAGTCATTCAAGATGGCAATCCTGCAGGACCCAACCCTTCCCACACAATTCCCTGAGGGTAGACAGGGAACAGCATCAGTTCCTTAAGGTATGATAAGATAGTGTGGAGAGGCTCTGCCCCTCCAATCCTCCCAGGAAAGGGATGCAAGGAAAAGAGCCCCTAGGACTCCTTCTCATAGCAGAGTAGCTTAATTGCCTCAGCTTTGCACTTCTGAAGCACTTAGTAGGCTTACGTATAATATAGGGGAAGCTGGAGGTTCCCAGCCCTGGGTGAGAGTCGCTTAAGTCGTCTTGCTCCTTCAGGCTTTTGGAGCTCAGTTGGAGGAGCTGGAATCCTTTTATGATACTCTGTCACAAACTGAGGTTCCAGTGGTGAGCAGTTGAGGCCTCAGACAGATAGATGACTTCTAATTTAAAATGCATAATAATAAAGGAAAATTTTTAAAGAAAGAATATGACCTGTAATTCCACTATCCTCACATAATTTTTAGCTTTTGCATAATGCTTTCTCTCCATTCCTTGTTGCATACTTAGATATATATTTTACTTAGTTGAAACATACTGTTCAGGGACTTCCCTGGTGGCACAGTGGTTAAGAATCCGCCTTCCAATGCAGGGAACATGGGTTCGAGCCCTGGGCCAGGAAGATCCCACATGCCACGGAACAGATAAGCCCGTGCACCACAACTACTGAGCCTACGCTCTAGAGCCTGCGAGTCACAACTACTGAGCCCTCATGCCACAGCTACTGAAGCCCGTGCGCCTAGAGCCCGTGCTCCACAACAAGAGGAGCCACTGCAATGAGAAGCCCGCGCACCGCAACGAAGAGCAGGCCCCGCTCACCGCAACTAGAGAAAGCCCACGTGCAGCAACGAAGACCCAATGCAGCAAAAAATTAATTAATTAAAAAAAGAAAAACATACTGTTCATATTCATTGTGTATGTACATTTAACATCACATTTGTCTGATTTTTTAATAGCACACAAATGTTAATGGATAACACTGATGTTGAAAAGCATTTAAAGAGAATATCTAGTTTCTCTCATAACATCGATAGTATAGATTTGTGCTCTCTAAAACAGTAGTCACTAGCCAGCCACACATGGCTAATGAGCATTTGAAATGTGACTATTCTGAAATGAGCTGTGCTATGCGTGTAAAGTATACACTGAATTTTGAAAAAAGAAAGTAAGTATAAAATATCTCGAATAATTTTTATGCTGATTGCATGTTGAAATGGTAATACTTTGGATATATTGGGTTAAATATATCATTAAAATTAAGTTCACCTATTTCTTTTTACTTCTTTTAATGTGGCTACTAGAAAATTTTTAATTACATATGTGGCTTGCATTATATTTTTGTTAGACTGCACTGGTATAGATTATCATACATAGCTATGAGATCTTAAAATTGAAAAAGAAACTAAAATTGCAGCCATAAGGAAATGGTTAAATCATCTTTGGTGTATTCACTAGGTACAATATTGTGCAGCTTTTAAAATTATAGACACATGAATGTGTGTGTATGTGTGTGTGTGTGTGTGTGTGTGTGTGTGTGTAATGTTATATTAAGGCAAGAAAGTGTGGTATAAAGTTATAAAAATACTTTAAAAACCTAAGATTTTTCCAGAATGCTAATATGCTAACTAGAGATATGTTTAGAAGGAAGGTAGAATTACAAAGTGAAGTTTTCTTTGTTTTCAAATTTAAAAGAGTGCCTTTGTGTCTTTGTCACATTGAGATATATTAAAGATAAAAAACTTGGTTTTTTATTAAAGAAGATCACTGGGTAACACTGATTCATAGGCTTAGATCTAGGTAAATAAGGAGATGGTGATGTATTAGTTTTCTCAAAGTTGTATGGGGGAGAAAGGACAAGCCAGCTATATCTTCTCTCCCACTGCAAAGTGGGAATGAGAAAGTGAAACACCAAAGGACAGGATGGTTAGTAAAATATACTGTCTGTAAAGGAATGAAAGCATGAAGGAGGAGCATTTACATCTTTTACCACTTGGAAAAATATAAAGAAAAGGATTAGAAAACTGAATCAAAGATGCTTTCAAAAGAATTAAAGCTCTGAAAGTGCCTGATCTTGCTGAATATTTTTTTCTTCATTCATAGATTCATGGTGTTGCTATCTAAAGTTGAGAAATCATCAGATGAATTCATGGAAATAATGCAAAATTTAAGTAATATACAGGTTTGCTTTTTTTGGCATATAATTTTTCATATTCTATTACCGTATTTGAAAAAGAATAGGAGAATCCAATCCCAGAAAGAACTTACAGGGGATATGTTCAATTTACTTTTCATGGGAACTTCTTTTCATATATGAACATTAATTAACCATAATATTTTAGTAATATCTGGCTTCTTCACATTTAAAAGTAAACTTATTAATTATGTTTAGTCTTTTTAGTTAATGAATTGTTTTTATTCAGGTATTTTAAGCCTTGCAATAGTTAACCTAACAGAAAAAGTTAAATTTCATTATCATAGAGTTTAAGTTTTTCATATGAAGGAAACAGTATACTGTATTTTCACTAGACTTGTCAGTAGTATTATATTTGTAGAGAACTTAACTCATTTAAGATGACTTTCTTTCAGGCTTTGGAGGACAGTAGAGAGCTTGAAAATCTCATTGGTATCTCCCATACATCTGGTGTCTTAAAAAGAGAAATGCAGAAAACAAAAGACCTACGTAAGATAAATTTATGAGTTTTTGATCGTGTCTCTCTATTACTTGTTTGCAAACTTAGAACAGGAAGCCACATATCTTTTGCCAGGATATGTTATTTCAGGGATTCTTCTTGAATGTGAAGGGAAAGAATGTACCTTGGTAACTGGTATTAGGGTTTTTTTTAATGCAGTTCTCGTTCTTTACAAAAGATATAAGGTATTGCATTTTATACTTGGTATTTATAAGTATGTATTGCTTGAAATTATTGTTTCTTATGAAGTTGTTTCTTCCAAAATGAGAAATTATTTAATATTCTGTATTAATTTTTAATGTGAGATTTTTTTTTCCTTTAGTGACAAAAGTAACAAAACAAAAACTATTTGAAAAGAAGAATTCAGAACTTCCCAACAAAGGTAAAGAGTTGTGTTTTAATTTATTACATAAAGAGATCCTTTCATCTCATTTTACCATTTCAACCAATTATCATGAGCCCTTTTTTTAAAAGACCACGAATCTCATTTGAAAAACATTATATTGCATTTAGCAAAAGACTGTGTCTGGTAAGATCAGCTTCCCTGATGACTGAACTTTTGAAATACAATTTTCGGTTCAAGAGTTAAATTTTTTCTTCTATTAAAAGTTCTTTTTGAGAATACAGACAAATGGGGCAACAATGCATTAATATGTGGCAGCTTTTTTTTTTTTTAACATCTTTATTGGAGTATAATTGCTTTACAATGGTATGTTAGTTTCAGCTTCACAACAAAATGAATCAGTTATATATATACATATGTTCCCATATCTCTTCCCGCTTGTGTCTCCCTCCCTCCCACCCTCCCTATCCAACCCCTCCAGGCAGTCACAAAGCACCGAGCTGATCTCCCTGTGCTATGTGGCTGCTTCCCACTAGCTATCTACCTTACGTTTGGTAATGTATATATGTCCATGCCTCTCTCTCACTTTGTCTATGTGGCAGCTTTTAATGGTGAATTAGAAAGATCCACAAAACATAAAAAGTTACTTTGTAACCAGTGTTCTGAAAACTTTCAGATTATTAATGACATCTGATCTACTGTGAACTCACACCTTGGGGCATTTCACAGTAAGGGAAACTAAATTAGCAGATTTTAAGTTCTCATAACACATGCACATTCATACCTCAGTAAGCAAAATACTATAAAATATTAAAACCATTAGACCAACTTGAGAGGGATGATTTTAATATTACTGACATGAATGCCATTTGGCAATCTCTGCAAATAGAGGTAGCCCTTGAAGTGGATAGCCATGTTTTAGTCTACCATTTTTGAGTACCAATGACTACCATTCGTTGAGGACTAATAATTACTGTGTTCCCAATACTAGGATCAGCAGATCATTACAACAACCCTGCAAGATAGCTATTATTGTCATTCTAGATAAGGAACAAAGACACAGAAAAATATTAAGTAACTTGCCCAAAGACACTGCTACTTAAGTGTCAGAGCAGGGATTCCAACTAAAGACCAGTCTTACTCAAAAAGTATGGTCTTTGCATTTTTCCATGTTGTCTCTTCCTAAAACAAATGAAAACATCCAGTCATCCCTGCTCTCAGATTCAAACATAAGGCATAACTGAAACTGGTTCAACCAATCTAGTATGTTAGTCTGTGTTTAGGATCTTTAACAAAGCCAGCAATGAGTTTGCAGTGGAAAGAGCTAGATTCTCTGCTGGTCAGTTCCAAAGGCAAACTGGGTCATGGCAGGGCAGCAGCCATGGAAAAACTCCAAAACTCATGTGGAAAGGGAACTGAGCAGGCTTCCTGAGCCATTCAGTTGGGCAGCTAACTCCCATTAGGGTCCATAGAATTTAAGAGCATGAAGGCAGCTCTTTCCTTAGAAAAGGCTTGAGATCTCTTCTGATGCTGTGTAACTGGATTATAATGTGTAACTGGTTTTCAGTGGTTTTAATCTCTACTAACTTGACAAGTTTTAGAGGATCATAATGGGAAATTGGAATATTTATTATTTCCCAACTAGAGGAAATCTTTCTTCTATATATTCTGTGGCAATGGTGTAATTTTTTTTTTAATCTATAATTTCCTAGAACTAATTAGAATTAGGCTTTACATTAGGCTTGTGAGGAAGGGAAAATTGTAGAACAAATAGGTGAACTGTCACTGCTAATAATTAATGGGAAAAAATTTTCCAAAAGTATTGTTTCCTTCCCTAAACATTTATTAAGACATTAAAGTTATTTCCACATGTTAAAACAGTCATCTCCTTTCAGTTATCCAGTACATACTGATTCTTTGTGTGTGTCTGCATGATCAGCCTTAAAACCATTTTCTAGTATTTTAGGCATTAAAACTGACTTGCCCATTACGAGGTGTTCCCTAAGAACTGAGTGTTCATGCATAGAGGAGATTGTATCACTAAATCGTGCTTTAAAGTTTCTAATAAGCATTGATTATTTGTTGTGGTTTAAATGAAAACTGAGCTAAGATATATTAAATATATAATATTTATATAAATTATATAGAAATATATATATGAAAATATATGTCATTTTCCATTTCTGTTTCTTGGCAAGAGCTACATTAGCTCTTAATATTTACTGAGGTATTCAAATCTTCATTAGTGTATCAACTTATTTTTTAAAGTAATATTGCCTGAAAAATAGATTGAATTTTTTAATTTGAATTTGAGCTAAATATTTTTACAGAATACTTTTCCCTGTTTTTTTCTCTGGTTCCTAATATGTGTATTTTTTAATATTAGTGGGATTTTTTTTTTTCGGTTAAAGGTGATGGACACCAAACACATGCATGTTATATGTAAATTTCTTTGCTAAGTTAACTTTCACCCCCTTCTATTTATACATTCATTATTTAAGAGGGCTTTGTTAGTTTTTTTGACAGTTCAAACTAATTTGCTTTATATATTCCTTATTTGGGGATCTAGCCCTTACCTTTTTATAAAAATTTCTAATTTACTCTTTTCTTTTATTATGCTGTTACCCAGAATTATTTAAATTTTAAAATGTTTTGAGAATCTCCATAATATTAGAAACTATATAGTCACAAATTACATAATATAAAAATCAGCCCTATGTTTTGGATTTGTTTTATTAGGTAATTATGAAAATGAAAATAAACAGATTACTTGTTTCACTATCAAAAGAATGTCCTTCAGGGCTTCCCTGGTGGCACAGTGGTTGAGAGCCCGCCTGCTGATGCAGGGGACACAGGTTCATGACCTGGTCCGGGAAGATCCCACATGCTGCGGAGCGGCTGGGCCCGTGAGCCATGGCCGCTGGGCCTGCGCGTCCGGAGCCTGTGCTCCGCGGGAGAGGCCACAGCAGTAAGAGGCCCACGTACTGCAAAAAAAAAAAAAAGAATGTCCTTCAGATTTTTTTTTCCTTCAGATTCTTATCAAATTTTCCCAGAATAGTTAAAATACACAATAACAGAAGAATTCCAACATTTATGCTGTCATTGCACCTTTGAATTGGTCCTTTAGTTCTGTTTATTTTTTTTCATTTCAGTGCTTGTGTGTTTAGCATCAGTTGCAGTCTTTATTACAGGCAGAGAAGTATAATTGTAAAGATAAGACTCTAGTGTTTTAATTAAATAGACATCTGACACACATTCTAAGGCTTTATATAACCTATTCCAGGGAAATTTAAAACATACACAGTTACATGAAAAGGTACACTGAGATTTTCATAGTTTTCAGAACTGGACCTTACACATTAGGGAATGCCTTGATAGAGCATATGAATAAAGAGGACCTCCTTTGCTAACTACAAATTTCTTAAACAAAGGAAGGCTTCTTTCTTTTTTCAGTTACTTAGGAAGTAAGCCTAACTTCACTTTCCTTAATAATATTGGCTTTATGACTATTAGAAAAATAATGAAATGAAAGGTTCTTTTTCTGTTATATTTGGATGTGAATTTTCAAAATTATTTTTAATTTGTTATGCTGAAGATTTAAAACATATGACCATTCAGTGGGTTGATACAGATGGAATGTCACATTAGCATCACATGGGAAGGCATGAAATTTATTTACTTTGCATAATCAACCCCTACATAAAACAACTTGATACAAATATTCCTGAGACAATAGATGGCATTATATTGTACTTGGTATTTTCATTTTTTCTGGAGATATTAGAAAATACCAGCATTGTTTGTCTGTGACTAGCACTTACAGTAAACAAAATGTTTTTTAAAAGAATGTAAGCAAATTGTAGCGCAGTTGCCAAGATATGAAATCTAGACACTTAAGATATGAAATCTAGACACTTAGCTTCAGTCCAAAACATATTTTATCTGTTTTGAGAATAATTGTGTAGGTTGAAGTATGCATAATTTAAATGAAATGTAACCATCTGAACTTTACATTGTTCAAAAAAGTTGATTGTCTCAGCTGTTTATAATACAAAATATTTCAGAATTTCTAGCTCTGGCCTTAAAAAAGAAAAAAGCACAAACTATCATGTTCTGGCTTTCTTTAGCTAACTTACCGTTTTCTTGCATTGTAAAATTCATCTTGGTTATAGGATTTTGAAGTTTTCAAATTCTTGGACCACAGGACAAATTTTAAACTCCTTCTGTTCTAAGACTGTAAAATAGTTTGATATTGCCTTTTCATTCTAACCACCCACTGAAGTATTTTTTAGCTTAAGAATATGTTGTTCTTTCCCCCACTCAGTCTTGAAAAAGTATTCATCATATCAGCTAAATAATTTTACTCCTAGAAAACTACTACCCTTTTTTTTTCTGTTATATCTTAACATTAAGCAATATCTTTTTCAAACAAATACTCCAATATTAAAAGCACTGAGGTTTAGACATGATGAATTTTAGGAGAAACAACAAAAATTCCCCTATGCTTTAACATTCTTATGTTTATGTTAACATTTTTATGTTTATCTCCAGATAAACATTAGTTTATCTGGAGATAAAAAATAGAGATGTTAGTTTTGGTGACACAAATACACATTAATGTACAACTGTAGTCCTCAGCTCTTTATAAGGATTCAGTTGTCACATATGCTGTATGTGGGTCATACCTTTTCCTATTAATAAATGTTCATGCTTTTGCTTTACACTATTCATCACTTTTAGAGCTACATTTCGACTGCTTACTTGAGATTTGTCTAGGATTTAAGGAAAAACAAACTGGTTTATTACTTTTCAAAGCCTTTTAAATAATTTCTTCCAAGATTTAAATTTTTTTATACTTTATAGAAGTATGATGCTTTTATCTTTTAAATAATTAGGTAAAAAATTTTAAACCACAGATTTTAACTCATTTAATAGCAATTATGTGTCTAAGAGGTGTAAATATAGTAAATAACTTGCTATCAGACATTACAAATATCCAGGTGCTCTGTATGTGCTGATGACAACAAAATTGAAATGAAAGACAGCAATAATTCTGACTGGTTTTCTCTGCAGAAGATATTGATTATTTGTGTGTGGTGAGAGATTTGGAAAATTCAATTAAAGGAGTTGTGCAAAGGTTTCATAAATTTTCCTTCTACAGCGTGTACACAGACATTGTTGCGTATTAAATCAATGCAGCACTTCACAATATATTTTCTTTGAAACATAAAAATAAATAACATTTAAACAGTTCTGCTTACTACAGAAACAAATTTTATTTTCTGTGAAGCATTTAGTCATGTGCTATCACTGACTCATACACATTTGCCAGCTGTAACAAATTTTATAGACATTTTCTCCAGAGACATATTTCATATACTATGAATTTTTAAATGAGCAAATGGTGAAGAAGGGATGTCAGCAATATAAAAATTGATCAGTTAAAAGATAAAAGCATAAGTAAAGAGATTTGTATGGTAGTCTTAATAGGTTTTATTAAATAAAAATACTATAAAAAGACAGTAATGAACAGACTGAAGACTAACTGTTCTTGAGGTGGAGAAAAATTATTCTGGCACATTTAGTAGGAATTGGTTTTATGTCACCTGACAGGTGAACATTTTTTTCCCATTTTAACTCTTAGAGTAGTCAGAAAAGCTCCTCAAAGTGTTAGATAAATTCTCTAAGTGGTTTTTGTATTTTAAACACATGTATATAATAATAAAGCAGATATTTATAGTGTTATATAACTAATTATATAGTTAAAAGCAGGACTTGGGCAATCAGTACATATTAGGTGTTTTTCTTCCTCCAGCTCAGACCTCACATAGGCAGAAAGTAGTCTTTTTCATTCACACTGTTCATACCATATGCTTCAGTCCTCTGGAATCTCTCTCTCTCAGGACGCCAGGCTTCTCTACTACTCTCTCTCTGCCTGGATTGTACTTGCTTCCTTCTTTGTCTAGCAAACTCCTGCTCATTCCTTAAGGTCAGCCTTCAGTGTCACATCATTTGAAACTCTCCCCAGCTTGCCAAGGTAAAAGGCTAAGTTGCTTCATCTTCTAGGCTTCTACAACGCTTGTCTGAATGATTGTAAATGTATCATGTGATAGTGTATTGTAATTGTCTGGTTACAGGGCTCTCTCTGGGCTTCTCCTTGGCAAACAAACAAAAATCTTATCTCTATACTATAGTCCCAGAGTTTAGTATAGAACCTGGATAGAAGGTCCATAATGCATATTCAGTGAATGAATAAAAACAAATGGCCACTCTAAGAATTTTTTAAAGGAATTATTTAGATATTTTCAAATACTTATAAATTGCTATTTCCTTACATGCCTCATTCATTTAATATTTATTGAATGCCTACTAGGAGCCAGGCACTATTCTAGCATTGGGGATACACTAATAAACAAGACAGACATAGTCCTGCCCTCAGGATTATAGAACCTAGCACAAAAGATGAATAATTATAATAAAACATAAGCACACATTATAATAATAAGTTGCTTGGCAGTTTTCATCCTAAATTTTTAAATGTACATTCTGAAACAGAATCAGGCAAATCTGTAGGCTGTTGAAACAAGAATTTATAGCCCCAAAGCTGTTATTTATAATGTAAAATAAAACTATGTGTAGGTTCTTTAATTTCATTTTAAGCATTTATTCTGCATCATTACTATGACAACTTACTTTGCACTGTTTTCTGAAAAAAAAGTCTTTTTTCTTTCATATAGAATTAATTATATGATCTTGATAGCTGTGAATTCCTTAAAACCATTTTAAACCGAGGTACTGTTTCACCTTTATAATTAGGTTTAGCCTTGTTAGATTTCACTGTTTATTTTTCAGGTGGAAACATTTTAATTATATTATCAAACTTGGTATTGTCTGTCTGTAAAGAAAATAGGGACATTAGTTGAAAGTATATTTTTCTATTCTTATAAATAATAGGAAGGCAGTCTAACAAGATCTGTGAGTTAGAGGCTGTTGAAAGAGAACACTGTTGAGCTTACCAGGCTAGCTTTCAGAGAGGGCATATTTTTTAGTGAATATAAAGAGGGCCCTTAATTGAGTACCTTTAGTAAAAGTAGCTAACTAAATAGTGAGAGGTAGGTTATAGTTTCTGTAGGGCACATCTGACTGAACAAAGACATAACAAGTCAGTGAATTTGGAAATGTGCTGAATTAAGTAAATAATTAATTAGTTGTACCTTTCCTTCAAAACAATTCCTGTGGATTCAGCAATACAAGTAAAAATTATATATTTATAAATAGCTTACTATAACATATTAGCTAGAAGCATTATGAGTCATGATGTAACATTAGTGTTTAGTGTACCTGCAAATGAAGGTTCACAGTAAAAACTAGCATTATCCCAGACTTAGTGGCATCAATATTAAGATTCTTAGAAGCTAACCAGATGTTGCCTGTTTTCTCTCAGAAAAAAATTAATGCAAAAAAAGAATTCTATACTGAGAATACGTTTCTTTGGAAATGGTATCTCAAGTGATTAATATTATCTTCTTAACTACCTGTTTTTAAAATATTTGCAAAGCATCTTCTACAGAAAATTGTATCACTTTCACTCCTTAAAATGTTCATTCTGTAGTATACAGTAAATAATAGCTTATAATAATAGCTAACATTTATTGAGCACTTTCAATGTGCCGGACACTGTTATAAGCACTTTATACGCATCCCATTTAACCTTCACAACAACTTAGTGAAGTAGATAGTTATTATCTTTATTTTACAGGTAAGGAAGCTGAGGCACAAAGAGGTTAAGTACCTTGTACCAGAATCACTTAAGAGACAGAGCCAGTATACTAACCAGAGTAGTCTGGTGCCAGAGCCTGTGCTCTTGCCCACTACATGGTAGTAATCAGTGAATGTCAGGTTTCATGACTGCTCAAAGGTTTTAGATCCTATTAAGTTTTAAGTATACAATATATATACAAATACATATATTCATTCATTATAGGATAAAATGTTTTATACAATTTCTGACCTATGGAAATCCAGCAGCAAACTATTAGATGGTTGTCATAAATACACAGTTATATACACACATAAATATTCACAGTCATACATTTGGCAAATGAATATACACATTTAATATATGACAGTCTCCTTAATGAACTTTTGGGAAACTTAAGAGTACTGAGAATAGCTTTGTGTTCGTGGATTCTAGTAAACATCATCACATGTTAGGGATGTTTTTGAGTCTTTATTTTGAGTAGTACTTTCAAAAAACTTGAAAGAATTAAGGTTGACCTACTAGTCAACTTCCCTTTTAGTGGGAAGCAACAGAGAAAAATAACGGTGAAATGTACTTGACTACCTTTGAGACATTTCCCTGGGTTCTTTTGATCATGTTTTCTTCTCACCTTGTGTGCTTTCTTCATGATCTCATCCATTCCTTGACTTTAGTTCTCACCTTAGTGTATAAGTCACCCTCCTCCTGAGCTGTAAACAATCTCAGCTCCCATACTTTATTCTCCTAATATGCTGATTTCATCCCCCCCTCATATTATCCCTCATTTTATCTTTCTAGGGATTACATTCATCCAGTGATAAGGCTGAAAACCTTACAATTCTGTCTGATCCAGTTGTCCCTACATCCAAACTGCTGCCAAGTCATATCACTTCCCAAAACGTTTACTTCTCCTTTCCATGTCCACTGCGCTGGTTTATTCCTTCATTACCTCTCATTCAGATTATCTGCATCCTCATTGTAACCTGCCTCTCTGCTCTTTGATCTTGTTTCCCTACAGCCTGTCCTGCTATTGAACAAATTATGCTTTAGAAGGTATCACTCCACCATATTCATAGTAAAATCCAAATTTATACCATCATTCAGAACTCTTCCCTGATCTGACCCCAGCTTGCCTTTTTAATTTATCTTTGTGCCTGAGTCACTCCAGATTATTTGCCATTCATACCTAGACACATTTCTCAGAAAGCACCTTTGTCATTTCCTTATCTTTGTTCTTGTCTCCTCTACTTGGCATACCTTTCCCCCATCATCAAAATTTTACCTGTCTTTCAAAAGCTGCTTATAACTTACCTTACACAAGGCTTCCTTAGATCCCTCTCTTCCATGTTCTTTTATACATTTGTCACAGCTGCCTAACTGGTATGACTAAGGGAGGATACTAAACTCCCTGATCTTGTCCTATGCCCTAGAAACCTCTGACAGTCACAATGCCCCTGACACCACTGTGGCCAGATTCCCTGTCTGCACATCACTTTTGCCCTCTGTCACACTTCAGTTATTATTCCTCCCGACTATATTATTCAGTGGGGGTAAGCACCCCATATGCATTTGCTCCCAGAGCCTTTAGAAAATGGAGCCTTTATAAAATAATGTTACAATAAGAGAGACTGTGCGTAAGGGAGACAGCAACCCATAGGCCACAGACAGTATGAAGACCAGCAAAAGAGGCGGAGAAAGCATGATTCGGGCTAATGTCAACGAGCGATGCTGAGATACATTTCCTAGAAACAGTGTAAATAAATCACTTGGTTAACAAAAGTGTGAGGGTTAGTATAAACAAAGCACTTTGCTTAATGCCAACCTAGTATTCAAGCTAAGGACATAAGATTCATACTATATACATGAAATAATAATAATATAAGGCAAGCTATGATAAGTGATACAAGTTCAGACCCTTCTTCTTTCTAGGATTCTGGACAATAGCAAGTACAAAAAAAGATTATGAATCCAGCGAGGATCAAAGTGTCAACTTGATTAGTGGAGGAATTAACCTCCAACATGGCAGGCCCTCTAGTAGAAGGTTGGGGTAACTAATGTGGACTAAGGCAGAAGTGGAACCTCCCCTCTCCCATACTGAATCTAGATCTTGAATCCCATGTGCTCTCCTGAACCTGAGGAGAAATCTGGATCCTTGAAATAGACCCAAGTCCACGTGTGTCTATAACAGTAAAGACCACAGACCTACCTTACATGCTTGGTTGCAGAAGAGAGAGAGAGAATGGGCTGGTCTCCTTACAACATGAAATTACAAAGCATGAAGGCCAGCTGGACTTGAGAGTAGACAGACGGTGAAAGGGAAGCTGAATAGTGGGGAAGAAGAGTGTTGTGTAAGAATAGTGGCCGAATATGACTGGTAAAATGTGGACTACTGTTCGGGACTTCAGTCAACTTTGTCACTTTTCCATGGGCTGTAGGGAGCAGAAGAGTTGACAGAAATTTCTTCCTCTTCAGACTGAGGAGAGTAAACATTCTTTCCTACTCTAAGTACGAAATGAAGAATAAGCAGTAGTATAGGAACACACAACGTAGACCGCCTTTAGGATAGAGTGATTAGCTCATTATTTAAGGGTTCATGATTTTAAAATCAGTTTTAGTTATTCCACTGTACATAATCTCTAACAGGGCCATCCAAGACCCTAGTAATAGAAATGTTTGTATTTTACTAGGAAGCTGGAATTTGAAAAATGGGTAATGTTGCTGGGCTGTGTAAACATACTAGGCAGAGATAACAGCATGAACAAAAAAGGCAGAGAAGCAGAATGATTGAACAGTAGATTCCAGATATATCATTGACAGTTATGATCACCAGGCTAATAAGTTAGCTCAGACTTTATTCATTAGGCAGAAATGGACCAGTGAAGATTATTAAGGAAGTAACAATCCAAAATGTTTTAGAAAGAATATAAGTGCTATATAAAGGATGAATTCTGTCAAAATACTGCTCATGAACTGCATCACTGTATGTAAATTTCTTTTCATTTGTCTTCTGAGATCTTCATCTCCAGAACCAGTATGACAGTGTAGAGAAAACAAACATGCTACTATTCCTTACTCTTGTGCTGATATACATCACATTGATCGAAGTATTGATTTTTGCTGGATCCTAAATTTGGCCTCAGAATCTTTCTCAACACAACTGTCCTGGCAGCCATGATCAACTGATGAGACTTCTTTGCAGGGCCTGGCATTGTAACAGAGAATGGGATTTGGATTAGATGTCCAGCACCAGCTCTACTACCTACTTTAGCTAGTGGCCTTAAACAAGGCACTCGGTTCCCAAAACCTTAATTATAAAATGGGACCGATGCTATTTACCTTGTGGATTATATAAAATAGCTTAGGGAATTCCCTAGTGGTCCTGTGGTTAGGACTTGGCACTTTCACTGCCAGGGCCCCGGTTCCATCCCTGGTCAGGGAACTAAGATCCCACAAGCTGCGCGGTGTGGCCAAAAAAAACAAAAATAAAATAAAAAGCAAATTAATTAATTAAATAATTAGCTTAATTAGTACCTTTCCCACAGTAACTTTTTAATAAATGGCAGTCTTCCTTTCCTCCACAGTATTATCATTAGTTCTGATAACTGTGTATCAATAACCTATAAGGATATTAAGTGAACCCTAGGATGCTTAAAATCTTCTACTAGTATTCAGATCAGACTCAGCTCATGAGTTGGCAAAAGTTGGTTGTCAAGTTGGCAACCTATCTACTTGTAGGACAAGAAGAATATAGGTGGACTGTCATGAATAGGGAAATATAGGGGCCCACCATGTATTACTTATTCATAGCTGCCAGTATAAGCAAGGAAGGGATATTTAAGGAAGTAAAGGGTCCACATGCCCTGTGGGAATATATGCCATCAGTTGCCATTGGGTGCTTTTTTCAAAGGCTTCCTCTCACACAAGTGTCCTAAGGCCAAATGGACAAGAACTTCTGTCACCACTAGGAGTCCCCAGAGGGACATACTCTGAATAGGAATGTCAGTAAAGACTTTTGCGGGGGCAGCTGTTGGAGGAAACACCTGCTGAAAGGCACTAAAGGCTTATAGACAAAAGGCATGTAAGATTTGGTGTTTTCATTAGGTCATTTTGGAGTTTTAGAACCCTCTGGAAGTATCTCAAATCCATCTTCACATAAAGTGAAGAGTGCTATGTCAGAGTAGTCATATTGACAATTATTTGTGAAAGTGAATCTTGCTTTGAAGACTCAAAAATAAGTAAATGAGAGATGACCAGTACCTAACTAAACTAGGTACCAAATTACATAGTAAACGGGTGTTTAAATCATTTCTTAAATCATGTATGAGATGCATGTTAATTTGGAAACTAATTCTTGATGATTTAATAAGCATCTTTTTTATCCTGCAGGCATTTAGAAGAAATGCACTCACTATGAAAATGCCAACTTCTGTATCTGCCTGATCATATTTAAAGGAACAGAAGAAATGTTTGTAATTAATCTGCCCAATAAATACCAGATCATAGCACAGGCAGGTGCATGTCTAGATAAAATTTCTTGCAGCTAATTTAAACTTTCTACACGCACCAGTAGATAATCTCAACGTAAATAATACATTTCTTCTTGACCCTTTAAAGTAAGTCAACATGTAGAAGGGGATCTTGACTTATATTTTGTATCTCATATGCTTCTATATACTTTTAGCATTTGTGGATAGACTTAATATAGTGCATTAATAAAAATGGCACCTTTGGTAGAGCTATATATTTTAAAACTCAGATTAAATCTAATAGTGAGTGGTATTAGGTACCAGTTTTCCCATTTAAAGCTCCAGATGTGTATTTATTAGATTCTTTTAAAAGCTTTTAAAATTTATAAGTTTGTTTTAGCTACTATCTCAGGGATGAGTCTTTATTATATTGTAGTTATTCTTATGCTTGTAGAGAAAAAGTATTTTCAAACTTTTAAAATTTCCACATCTCCTTTTATAAAATATTGGAATGTATTTTTCAGTATAGACTTTTAAATATGAAAGTTGTTTTTAAACTGAACTACACAGACTCTACTGAATTTAAAGAAAAGACATATCTCATGGAGCAATATGAGATCCCCTCCAAATAACTTTGAAGCATTATTTAAAATTTTTAATTTTCTAGTTTTTTTTGTATCATCATTTGTGCTGTCACAAAATAAAGGGGAAGAGACAATCACAGAATTGATAGCACGTTTTTTTAAACCTTATATACTTTGCTTTGACCATTTCCACAGGGAAAAAAAATGCTATTCCCTTGTATAATATCTTATACGAATTGTCTTGACAAAATTTGTGTTAGATATTACCATGTCATTTAATTCACTGTATCATGAAAATTAAAATACTATGAAAAATTTGAAACAAAATTTTTAACAAGGTTGAAAATAACTAATTTTCCATTTATAGAAATTTCAGATTCACCTCTTAAAATGAAAATGAGTTATTTTTTTTAAAACTATTCATTGAAATGATACTAAACAGTAACTCAGTAAAACTAATTGCCTTCACTAGTGATTTTATTGGTACTACTTAAATAAGGTTTTTAGAGAATCTGCTAAATATTAAGGATACTTTGTGATACAGTGCTCATAACAGGACATTGCCTAAAATATACCAAAAAGGATAATTCTTTTGTGTTCTACCATTGAAAACTTACCTTAGAATGTAAGCCAAAACAGATAAACCTACATTAGTCAGGAAATAAAGGGTTAAGAAGTAGATTGGTTTCATATGTAATCCAAGTTACATAGCTATGTGCTTAATGCTATTAAATCAGTTACTATATGTTTGACCTCTTGATATACTAAGCTTTTGCCTTTCAGAACAGCTGGGTCGGCTAAGAATCCCTTCCCAGTTCTGTTCATTGTAGATCAGATGACTCTCGCTTTATCACCCTTGGAGGCCACATGAAGGACAAAGCAGAAAGATCCACACACAAAACTAATGTTTATATGGGCGGGGGGGGGGGCAGAAGGTGTGGGATACACTTGGCCCTGATCTTCCAATGAACATAACAGAAGAGAGAGACCAATTGAGACTTGAAACCATTGTGTTACTCCAATCATTATTTAGTAACATCCTATCCATCTCTTACTCTCTTTCCTTTGAACAGAGAGGCTCCTTTGGCTGCCTTGACTTTTGTAAATGTTTCACTCACTTAGTTGTGGTTTATCATTTGGACAGAATGCTACATCGGGGATTTTTCTCCCCTCCCTAAGGCTTCAAGACAAAATGACTTCTGTTGCCTCATATTTGATACATGAACATACACCCTGTTCTCTTCATTTTAAGACGCATACCTAAGTTTATTGGCAACAAAGAAAACTGCATTTTTCAGAAACAGCCCTTCCCTCTAAAATGAACTGGAAAATAACTTAGAAGAGATCATTTTTTGACAAGTGTATCAGTGAATAAAGTGAGAAGTCTTTAATTTTTTTGTATAAGCTAAATATCTTTATATTAAAATACCCCTGTAATCCTGAATATAGCTGAGAGAAATGCTTTGGAATTACCTATTCTGATCTTAATTCATCACTGGACATTTTTGTTATTTTGGTACTTAATGCCTCAAAGTTCAAAGTGGACTGTTCTTAAACTGGTTTCTAATAGATATGAGATCCTTGACTTATGAGATAATTGCTACAGGTCTCCATTAAAGCTACAGTGTAACTCCATATGACTAGATTAAATCATCTGGAAATGTATTTTTATTTAGAATTCACCTATAAGATACCTTGAATATGGGTGCATTCTATTTTACTAATGTTTAAATAATACTTTCATTTTCAAATAATGTTTCTCTATTCCAACTATTTAGAAGTTGTCAGAACTTCCTCATCATTGAATTAAATCAACATCCTGTATTAAATGCAAGTTTTCTATTACGAAAAATAAAAAAGACTACACCAGCCAGCCAAGATGCTGACATTTGGGCACAGTGATTACAGATGGTGACCATGGACAGCG